AAGTAACGGCGGACGGGCCGCTGAAGCCCCAGGGGGTGCGCCGTGGAGGCAGGGGAGGGGAGGGAGGAGGGGGAGGAGGGGGCAGAGGACGGGCGGAGAAACGGAGGATGGGGGGGCGAGGGGGGGGGCGCAACGGACGAAGGAGGTGGGAGGCAAGGGCGTGATACGGACGGCCGCCGCTGAGCCTCGTATGGCCGGTCTCCTTGCTCATGCAGACGTACACCTTTCCCTGGGACCCCTTGCCAAGCATCTTTCCAAGGGTGTACTTGGTGTGGAACTCCGACTCCTCGCAGTAGCAGGCGTGGGCCGACGCGGCGCCTGTCGACCATCCCACCGCCCCTCCTCTCACCCCCCTCCTCGCTCGCCATCCCCCTCCCGGCGCACCCACTCCGCCCTCCTCACTCGCTCCTTGCTTCTCCTGCCTCCTCTTCCTCCGCCTCGCTCCTCCCGCCTCCTCCCTCCGCCTCGTTCTCACCCCAGTTCCTTCTCCAACTCCGCCTCCTCCTCCGCCTCCGCCTCCGCCTCCGCCTCCGCCTCGCCCTCGTCCTCCTCCTCCTCCTCCTCCTCCTCCTCCATACATCCTCCTCTCCTCTCTCCTCCTCATCCTCTCCTTCATCCTCTACTCCCCATCCCCGTTTCATCGTTTCCTTTTTCTCCTCTTACTCCTCTCCTCCCTCCTTCCTCTGCCTTTTCCTCTCCTCCTCCGTCTCCTCCTCCTCCTACTCTCCGCGGCGTCCTCCCGCCGCATCCTCCTCCGCCTCTTCGGTTCCCTCTACTCCTCCTCCTCCTTCCTACTACCCTTCCTTCCTCCTCCTCCTCCTCCTCCTCGTCCTCCTCCTTCGCATCTCCTCCTTTCCTCCTGCTCTTCCTGCTCCTTCTCCTTCCTCATATCCTCTCTCCTCCTCCTCCTCCTCCTCCTCCTCCTCCTCCTCCTCCTCGTTCGTTTCGTGTGCACTGCTTCAGGGGAGCGGGGGAGCGTCTTGAGCCAGAGATGCATCAAGGAAAAGTCCGCCAGTACGACTGGGCGACACATGCGTGTGAAAAAGTGCCACCTGTAGCCACGGCGGCTCGGCATGGCCTGTCAGAGAGGCGCCTGCTCGCTCAGACTCACGAGTGGCACGGGCCCCTGTTCGGCCATTTGTGGGGCCGGGAGTAGAGGACAGGAAAGGAGGGATCTGTGGCTGATGTCAGCCTCGTAAGTTCCGTTTGATCAGCGGCCCGCTCAGCCGCTCGACGCCAGTGTCAACATGGTGTCGCCTGCAACCTTGCCTGGCCATTTAACGCGCTCTGTCGGCGTCCTGCCGGTCAAGCCCAGCTGCGACATGCGGGGGCATCCTCTGGAAAATGCCCGAGAAGAACATGACGGCAACTCCGGGAGGAGGGGGAGGAGGAGGGGGAGGAGGAGGAGGAGGAGGAGGAGGAGGAGGAGGAGGAGGAGGAGGAGGAGGAGGAGGAGGAGGAGTAGGAGGAGTAGGAGGAGGAGGAGGAGTTCTCTTCGACATGATTGGTCACACGCATTCTGGAATGAAAACGTTGCAGACGTACGGGGCGATAGTCCGTCTCAAGATATGCCCAGGCTACCTGTCCGACCCCATCCACACTAAGAACATGTTGGGACAATTGCTGCCGAGAATTGCACTGGCAATCGCACCTGGTGCACGCGAGCGTCGCGTCCACCTCGGCAACCCGCTTCGTCTTAGCCCACGCGGACACATCATTGACGGACCCTTCTGGTTTACCGTCCCAGAAGGTTTTCTTGAAGCGTCGCGGGTTGTCCCTAACCACGGCGATCCACTCTTCGAGCGACGCGGCACTGAAAGAGGCAAAGGCCTCCGACGTGGACGACAACATCATTAAATCGTCAACAACAGCATGCAACCACGATCTCCGCAGACCAACAGTGTGGGCTAACGCAAAGCACAATTCATGGGCGCTTCCAACGCAGACCCTCACAAAAAGACACAGCCGCATGTACAGTATCATGATCGCTCGCTGGGGCGACAAAATAATCGTGCGTGGCAATGAAAGCGTGAGCAGGTGAGTTTGCACCCCGCAGGCGTCACGAAAAATCAAATAATACACCTGCATGATGGAAGTGTGAATCCGAACCACTTCACCAGAGTATATCGATGGCCATGTCCTTGCCTGGTGAAGACCCTTAGTAAACAGAAGCCCTTGGCATACCTCCCCCTCCTCCCCCTCCTCCCCCTGCTCCGCCGCCCTCGCGGCGGCGGCGGCGGCAGCGGCAGCGGCAGCGGCGGCGGCGGCAGCGGCAGCGGCGGCGGCGGCGGCGGCAGCGACGGCGTCGGCGACGACGACGACGACGACGACGACCACGACGACGACGACCACGACGACCACGACGACCACGACGACCACGACGGGCGGCGCCCATCGCGGCGGAACGCGCAGGCGCGGGGCAGCGGCAGCCCGGCCAGAGCGCGGCAGAAGGCCGCGCCGCGGGGCAGGCGGCGAGGGGTCGCCCCGGGGCCTCTCGAGCCAAGGGGCGGGCGGCGGCAGGGGGCGGGCAGGGCGCGCCCCGGGCCGGAGGCGCCCCGGCCCCTCGCCCCCTCGGAGGCCCCCCTCGCCTTCCGCCTGCTGGGAGGGGCACCCAGACAGGATCGCGCCGTGGAAAGTTCAGGACGGAGGTCTTTCACATATTGTGGGCCTCCGGGTGTGGCCTCGCCGGGCCCTGGGACCGTTAAAAGAAACGACGGAGGAAAGACCGGCCCCAGGGACAGGGTCTGGACTTCCGGGGACGCCGTCCTGAAAAAATCAGGACGTCGCATGTCTGGGCAGGGAGCATGACATACACGCGCACACACAAGCTCGGAGGTCCGCGCGGAGTCCTCGGCTCGGCGCTGGAGGCCCCCGGCGGCGCCTCCGGCGCCGCCCCCAGGGGCGCGCCCCGCGCGCCAAAGGGGGGGGGGGCCCAGCGCCGATCCGAGAACTCCGCGCGGACCTCGAAGCTGTCGTTCTTCCTGCCATGGTTTATTTCAGGCCTGAACCTATGCTTTTCGTTTTCGTTCTGCTTTCGCTTTCCCTCGCTTTTTTGTCTCGAATCCGCCTGTCTACCCCAAAACGAAGTCGAAACGACATGCGACGTCCTGATTCTGTATACCCAAACATGCGACGTCCTGATTTTGCAGGACGGCGTCCCTGGAAGTCCCGACCCTTTCCCCGGGACCGGTTTTGCACCCTGAGTCGTTTTTTGACGGTCCTGGGGCCCAGCGAGGGCCCCTAAGGGGTCGAAAATATTGAAAACCCTCCCGTCCTGATTTTTCGTCCAAAATCCCCCTTTATGGTCGGGAGCGGCCAAGGGGGGGGTGTCCAAGAGGGGGGTGCAAAACATGACCGGCGGCACGTGCCCGGCCCACCGGGGGCCCCAGGGACGCCATGAAATGAGAAGAGGCGCCGTGAAACCTGAGGAAAAATCGTGGCCCCCCCCATGAGATCCACCCCTCCCCGAGTCACCACCCCCCTCCCCAGACCCCCGACGTAATGATTTTTTCATTACGTCGACCCCCCGAGGTCTCGACCCATTCCCCGGGACCGGTTTTTCATCCTGAGTCGTTTTTTGACGGTCCCGAGGCCCGGTGAGGGCCCCCAAAGGCCGAAAATTGCGAAAAAACTCCCGTCGTGATTTTTTCATGACTCGAGGAGGTCTGGGTCTTTTCCGCCCCCGATGTGTGGGGACAGGCCCGACCTGACGCCGCGGAGGGCCGCAAAGACCTCGATGGGGCCCTCCGCCGACCACGTGTCTCCGGGCGGTGGCCCGGGCCCCGGGCGGCCTGGCCGGGGCGATCCGGGCACCCCCGACGAGGCCCGCGGGGAGGCGCAGCTGGCAGCCCTCAGTGAGGTCATCCTCCTACCCTCCTCCTCCTCCTCCTCCTCCTCTCCTCCTCCTCCTCCTCCTCCTCCTCCTCTCCTCCTCCTCCTCCTCCTCCTTCCTCCTCCTCTCCTCCTCCTCATCCTCCTTCCTCTCCCTCCTCCTCCTTCCTCCTCCTCCTCCCATCCTCCGCCTCCTCCTCCTCCTCCTCCCCTCACTCCTCCTCTCCCTCTCCTCCTCTCTCTCCCCTCCTCCTTCTCCCTCTCTCTCCCCCTCCCTCCTCCTCCTCTCTCCCCCTCTCTTCCGCCCTCCTCCTCCTCCCTCCTCCTCCCTCCTTCCTCCTCTTCTCCTCCGCCTCCTCCGCCTCCTCCTCCTTCCTCTTCTTCCTCCTCCTCCTCCTCCTCCTCCTCCTCCGCCTCCGCCTCCTCCTCCGCCTCCTCCTCCGCCTCCTCCTCAAATGAACCTCCTCAGCATACACGTCGGTCGGAAGAAGTGGGTAGAACCATGAAGTAGGAAGGCGGATATAGTAGATTGGGTCCAGGTCCCCCCAGAGAATAAGAGAGCACAGCAAAGGCATTCCGATTCTTGAAGTAGGAAGGCGCTTGAAGTAGACTGGGGTCTGGGAATCCAAAAATACCAACTTCCAACGACTGGCGTGTAATCTTCAGCTTTCGGATGTCCTGAATGACTACGTCTTGCGAACTTGCTAACTCGGCCGCGTGGCCGAACCGGGCAGCGGACTCCAAGAATCGCGCCCAAAGTGGAGGGACGTGCTCCGCTGGCGGCAGCGGCGCGCCTTAGCCCAGCCAGGACCAGCCAGTCCCAGCCGACGTGTTGAAACAAGACTGTCTCAGCCAGAAATGTCCTAAGAAGGTTGCGGATGATAAAAAAGGCAGGACGCTGCGCCACGGTTTGATGATGGGAGCCACGTGCAAAATACAGAAAACCTCCCGAACACCTCCCAGAACCATCCGAAAACGTACTAACAAAAAAGCCGAGCACCTCAGGGTCCGCGACTGGTGACGGGCAACGAGAAGGGGGGACTGGCATAAGGTGGGGGGCACATCGACATGAAGTCGGCGATCTATATATATATATATATGTATATATACATATATATACATATACACATACATATATCACCGATAGATCTGCGATAGGCCCCCGATAGCAAATCCGCACTGACCCAGGTCTACCCGAGCCCGGGCCAATCGTGCTTTGCAAGACCCTGCAACATCCTGCAGGATCCAGCAGGATCTGACACCCAAGCCTGGGTCAGTGCAGCCCTGGCCCTGCAGGATCCTGCAAGATCCGGCGCTCTGACTGACGTCCCTTTGCAGTAACCCCCGTCTCAAGGCTCCCGATCCCCCCCGCGCCCCCGGCGGCCGGGAGCCCTCTTCGGCGGACCGCCACCGAGGACGGAAGCGACGCGCGGGTCTCCTCCCCGAACTGCACCTCGCCCGGAAGGCCTGCGCCGCGGGGGTGGGGAGGTTTGGAGCGGTCCTCCTCGATCTCGTCATCGTCCTCCTCCTCCTCCTCTTCCTCCTCGTCCTCCCAGTCTCGAGAGGGAGCAGAGCCGACCCTGAGATCCGACGTAGCGAGAAAATTGCAACATCGTGAAGATCCGCGCCCGGAGCCCCAGACCCCATCTTTCTGCGTCATCTTTCGAGCCCGATCGATCTGCGAGGGCCCCGGGACCCGAAAAAAGGCTTAAGTCGGGCGTGTCCCCCTACAGAGGGATCTTCGAGGAGAAGAAGAATAGATTCCCAAAAATACCCAAAAAAGATACCCCAAAATACGGAAAAATAGTCCCCAGACTATTTTTTAACTATCTTTGAATATCCCCCCCCCGTGAAAATCCGTCATCTTTCAAGCCAGATCGATCTGTGAGGGCCCCGGGGCCCGAAAGAGGGCGAAAACGCCCGGCTCGAAAGAGGATCTCCGGCGGGAGCAGACCGCCGGCAGCCGCGCCTCCGGGGGAGGGGGGGGGAGGGCAACGGCCCACGAGGGACGCGGCGGGGGCGCCTCGGCGCCCTGAGGAGGAGGAGGGGGAGGAGGGAGGAGGAGGAGGAGGAGGAGGAGGAGGAGGAGGAGGAGGAGGAGGAGGAGGAGGAGGAGGAGGAGGCTGTGTGGATTGGACTATGGCGTCGCGCCAGCGCGTCCGCGGCCCCTTCTGTGGCGACGCGCGCAGGCGGCTGGCTCCCGTGGAGCTGTCGTCAAGTCGGGCGTGTCCCCCTACGGGGGGATTTTCGACGACAAATTAAAAAATACTCAGAAGTACCCCCAAATGGTCAAGAAATACTAACAACAAATAGTCCCCAGACTATGTTTTGACTATTTCTGAATATTCCCCCTGTAGAGGGACAGGCCCGACTTAGAGCTACTGGTGTTTGCGAGGCGGGGATTTATCCACATCCACCGCCTGGGAACCGACGTCCTGGTGCCTCAGCGGGCGGTGGATCTGGACATAATTCTGGCCCCTGGTGGCCCGAATCTGTCCACATCCACCGCCTGCCGAGGTCCCAGCAAACTGATCCTCCAGGCGGTGGTCATGTACAAACTCCCGCCTCGGAGATTCTGCCCGTTTGAAGACCTGCCCATGGCAACAGATGCAATTTCGTCTGGTGATGATGATGATGATGATGATGATGATGATGATGATGATGATGATGATGCTGATGCTGATGCTGATGCTGATGATGATGATGATGATGATGAGGAGGATGAGGATGAGGATGATGATGATGATCATGAGGTGATGATGATGCTGCTGATGATGATGATGATGATGATAATGATGATGATGATGATGATGATGATGATGGTGATGATGAAGAAGAACGGGAAGAATAAGCAGGCAACAATAATAATAATAACAATAACAATAATGATGATAATAATAATAATAATAATAATCAAAAAATAATAATAATAATAATAATAATAAATAATAATAATAATAATAATAATAATCACCAACATAAGTAAAAAAGAAGAGCACGTGGATGAAGACGACGCGAGTCGCCCGCCAGAGCGCTGTCCTCGCCGGATCGCGCGGACAATCAGCCGTAGTAGCCTTCTCTGCGTTCGACTCACTTCGTCCTCGAATTCACGCGTGAGTACCCTCGGGAGCGGCCAAGAGGGGGGTATCCAAGAGGGGGGGGTGCAAATCATGACCGGCCCACGCCATGATATCCATCCCCCCCCTAGTCATCCCCCCCCCTCTTTGCCGCCCCCGATACCCACGTGTCAGTACCCACGTGCCGGAACCCACGTGCCAGTACCCAAATCAGAACCGCACATCATCGGTGTCGCAATTGTGCTGCCGAACAACCTGAATCGTGAACTTGGAGAATGCCCCCCGGTTTGTCAATTCTGCCTGGTGCTGCATGAAGCAATTCCAAGCACAACGAATACGATTATCGATCCCAACATCGTGGGGCCGATTGAGACTCACCAGCCGGCCGAGGTACCTGACGCTGCCACTTAAGGGAACAAATTCGATACTCAGGGTTTCTTAATAAGCGTGGGGGGTAATCCCCCGACGGGGGTCAACCTTGCCTCGTCGTCGCGACGCGACGGGGGTCGGAGCACCTTCGGCGCGCGGTGGCTGCCCGCGACGGGGGTCGATGTGGGGCCGTGGGCTGGGGTGGCGCCCCCCCCCCGACGCT